ATAATGTGACGGTCAATCCCACTATTCGTTGGTTAAAGAGTAGCCCAAGAGTTGGCGGTGGGTGGTGATGACTAGCTGCCTTCCCTCTAGTCTTACACTGCTAAATTAGGGACGGCTAGCGCAGATAGCCCTCGTGTAACTTTGTGCGAAATTCAAAACAAAAGAAAATTCTTCAATCCTTCAAAAAATACGGTTATTACTGACCACAATATTATTACAAGAAATATGTATATCAGCAAGAAACTGAAAAAAAAAACTGTCAGGAAAAATAATAGACGTAAAGTCCATAATGTAAATAATAATTTAAACAGAAATGAATAATAACAATACGCCGAAGAAAGTAAAGAGATCTATATTCAATCGTTTTTCAAAGAAAGACAATTAAGCTTCGATGACAATTACATATATGTTTGTTTGTTTGTTTAAACAATTACCAAACATCAAGTAAATTATAATATTTTAAATGTAACTTTTAAATATGCACTTCTGAAAACGTTTTGGACAATTTAGCGAAGAAATTTTGGCAGACATTACAAACGTTCAAATTATGTTTATTAATTCAACCTTAAATGTAAGACATTTAGTGTAATCTATGGGTCGTACTTTGCAGGTAGTTGAAATTCATACTATATACTTAATAGAGGTTATTAAACAAAACTTGCCCATAATGTAACTTAAACGGGAAACTAACATTAATTTATTCAAATGGAAAATATTAAAAGATAAAAGTTTGTATTTCTTACAAAATGATCTTTATTAAGCTACACGAGAAAGAATAAATAGTTAAGCTCTCAAAGTTTTCACAATCACATTAGAAACATAAGTGGCAAATAAATGATACCACAAACCAATTTTCTTTTTTTAAATCTGTGTTCAAAATAAAGTTTTTAAATTTATTGATATTTATTTTATTCTACCGTACATATCAAAAGAGAAAATAAACATAAAAACTAGTAGATATATAAAATACACAATTTTGTAGAATGATGAAATACACAGGTATCAATATTACATATTTATGATAATATCATCATTTCTTCTTAAGAAGGGTATGTAATCTTAACGCATTCCTAAAATTTGAAACAGTATTTTTGATATACAAATTATAAAGAAATTTCATCTGTTGCTTTGCTATTTGCCGAAAAATAAAGTAATAGTTAGTAGATTATTATTCGTTTGGCCTAATAAAACCAAAATTATTCCAGAACCTATAGATTCAAAGGTTTCAACGTACTATTGATCATAAAATGCTCATGGATGAAACGGCATTTGTTGGGGCTATCATAATGCCCACGGCAGTACTCTTTAACATGGCCACAGTTATGTATATTATAACTGAAGTTTTTATAAACGTAAATAAAATCACGACCTATATCTCCAGAATGTAACTTTATTAGCTCAATATTTCGCTATTACATCTTCGTCAAGAGATATCGATATCCTAGAAATTCACTAATCCAGATTTAACTGGAAAGCCTAAATAATTCATCAATCCAGTTACGCAGTTATATAATTCTAAGAGTTAATATTGCCCAGACCACAATATCCATTAATAAAGTTAAAATTAACGTACCACTAGGGACTACTGAATGTTTCTTGTTATGTATTTTATTTTGTTGCACAATAATAGTGTTTAAGACTTGTAATTTCTTTAGATATGCTAAACTCCGGGTAGATGGGAAATGGTTAATTTTCTAAACTATTGAATCACCAAATCAATACAATCACCAAATTTACAAATCTTCAAAAAATGTGTGTAGATTATGGTTTTTAAAGTTTACCAACGTCCTGCTCCAGCGTTTCGTTCTTTCTTTCTTCCTACTACCATTTAATAAAGCAAATACATTAGTAAAAATATGTTAAACTTTAACACGTGTCTTAAAGAGGGATATATATTACAGGGGATTCGGATTGGGACACTTGTTATATCGAACAGTGTTAGCAGTAATATAAATTATTAGGTTAGGTTATATACGATCCTGGTGTAATTTTTCACTAATGATGGCCCACTCTTTTCTACCTTTTGTCGTGTTAAATTAGATCCTGACTAGTAAAAAATACCTTGGATAATTTAACAGTGAGACATTCATGCGATATTTTGAAAACATGAGCTCTAAGTAGGCAGTGCTTTTGTATAGAAAGTTAAATGTTGAATTAACACGGGATTCACAGTAAAAAGGGGTAATCCTGGCTTCCTGTTACAATATATTGAAGTGAAAATAAGATGAAGCAAATAAAAAATATATAAATATTCACTGTAATTACGTCATTACATATAAAAAACTAAATATTGAATTACTTCTCAAGCTTTGTAAAGAGTTAGTA